ACCTCTTCGTTTTATGCTCCACATGGAATTATATTCGGTATTGCTCTATAGACAAAGCAGTGGTGAAAAGCACGACAGTGATCTGGATTGACAATATGTACCCGGGAATGACATAAACTCTGTGTTAGTTAGATATTTAGACACGCGAAACGGCAATTATTGTTGATATGACTGTTGATATTTGAACAGTTGTGATACACAAGATATGAACAAAATAGTGTGTGGTCGTTCAGGCCTCAATAAGTGCTGAATAAAACCTTTCTGAATCATGACTATGGTTGTTTGCTTTCTGGAAGAAATTTGACGAAAAATAATGACCATTATTTTGTGAAAAATTGAAATTTTTACCGAAAAATCGACATAAATTCATTTTTTTCGGAAATGAATCTTTTTATAGTAGTTTGTATTGTTAATATATCTGTTTGTTATTCTATTGCGGTCATTTTGATACCTCACTTGTTAAATTTGATCGAAAAATAACGATTTTATGATTTTTTTCACATTTTGGGTAAATTTCACTATGGATGACGTCATAACCGGAAGTTCGTCCCAACTTACGCAATGTTAACATTTATTTTCGTGATCAGGGCGTCATGGGGCTTCAGAAAAATATTGGTTCGGAGGTTTGTGGGGGGGGGTGCACGGTGGACCCTTCTAGCTACTAAGGAAAGGCGGCATAAAAGATAGCTGGGGGCAGTAAAAGAAAAAGGAGGCTGAGTGAGAGAGAGGCGAGGCAAGGAGAATGACACGAGGGCATAAAGTAGGTGTTTTGTGCCCTACATGCTAGGGCGCTCTCCAAATTATAAACACAGATCTACTGATTAAAGTTTATTAGGGAAATCTATGCTCAGATACCCCCTAACCATTTTAAATGCATATTTATCACAAAATATAACTCATCTGGTGAGATAATGCGCATGCGCTGACACACTAACGTAGCCAGATTGTGTACTGGCTGGTATACGCAACGGGGACCTTACATGCAATGTCTTCCTCCTATTTCTTAAATAATGTCTACTGATGGAATGTTATTATATAAATCTATGCTAGGATAACTCCTCTTCATTTTAAATGCATAATCATTGCAAAATACGATTTCTCTCTAGAGATATTGCGCATGCGCGCGCACCGTGTTAGGCGTGCAGTGCCGTCTGAGGCAAACTTTCATAATATAGCTTGCAGAGGAAGAGAGGGGATTGGAGACTGAAGAAATGCGGCAGGGAAGATATATAGGGTCGGTAGAATAAGAAAGAGGCTGAACAAGGGACAGGGGAGGCAAGGGAAAGGACGCGAGAGCATAAAGTAAGTGTTTTGTTCCCTACATGATAGGGCGCTCTCCTAATTATAAACACATATCAACTGATAAAAGTTTGTTAGGAAAATTTATGCTGAGATACCCCCTAACCATTGTAAATGCATATTCATCACAAAATATAACTCCTCTGGTGAGATATTGCGCATGCGCTAACACACTAACGTAGCTAGATTGTGTACTGGCTGGTATACGCAGCGGGGACCTTACATGCAAGGTCTTCCTCCTGTTTCTGAAATGATGTCTACAGATGGAATGTTAACATATAAATATCTGGATTCTATCAATGACAGTCGCTATTACTACTTGACACACCTACCAAAGAAAAGAGTTTGCAACATACCAAGTTACAAAGAGGGGCAAGAAAATCCCGCGCACCTTCCAAGAGTCATGGCTCAAAGACTTTGGGCGGCTGACATACTCCCAATCACAAGGTGGAGGGTACTGCAAGTACTGCGTCTTGTTCAAAGCCAAGTTGGTCAAAGGAGTGATTGGTACCTTGGTGAAGACCCCATTTACAAATTTCGGCAAGGCCAGAGGCAAAGATGGCTGTGTCCCAAATCATGACACATTTGACTACCACCATCATGCAATGGTAATGGGAAAGTCATTTATTGCCACTTACACCAACCCTGAAGCCAGAATTGACACAATTGTTGAAAGAAAGAGCCAGGAAATCTCTGAACAGAACAAGCACATCATGTCCGTCATTGTGGATACAGTCAAGCTATGTGGCATGCAGGGGCTTCCTTTACGTGGTCACATAGATAACAACACAGCAGAGCCACTCACCAACCAAGGAGTCTTTAAGGTAATTCTAGACCACACAGCCAAATCTGATCCAATCCTTTGTGAACATTTAGAACGTGGAAAGAAGAACCAACAGTACACATCAATGACTATACAGAACCAGATCATTAGCATCACAGCGGACTGCCTGCGTGTGAAGATCTTGGCACCTCTGAAAGATGATACTGATCCTCTGAAACATGGAAAATATTTCAGTGTTATGGCTGATGAGGTGACTAATCCACGTGAAAATCAACAATCAGGGAGGCCTTCGTGGACTTTGTTTATCTGCAGAGGGCAACTGAACAAAGTATTTCCAAAGCCATCTTAAGCCTCCTCAACAAGCATGGTCTAGATATCCAAAATATGCGTGGACAGTCATACGATGGTGCTTCTGCAATGGCTGGTAGTGCAAGAAGAGCTCAAGCACTCATCAAGGAGAAGAACCCACTGGCATTATACATACATTGTCGCTCTCATGTGCTGAGCTTGGCCATTGGCAGAGCATGCGAAGTGCAAGGTATCCGCAACATGATCGAAATGATCAATGAGATCTACTTATTCTTCCATCTGACATCCAAACGCTTTCTTAAAGCTGTCCTTGAAACATATGCACCAGAAAGCCGAGTTCATAAACTCAAAGGACTCTGCAAGACAAGATGGACAGAAAAGCATGACTGCCTTAAAACCTTCCGTGCTCTGTACGAGTACATCTTCACATCCATGCATTTTGTGGTGCAACTAGGGGAGTACGGAGAGATTGAGTCATCGTGGGATTGGGATGCTGAAACTCGTACGAAGGCTCAGGGTTTCATGACGTCGCTCAGGAATGGCCGCAACATTGTAGCCCTATTCATCTTTGTCAATGGCCTTGATAGTGTGAAGGGTCTTAGCAGCAAACTCCAGAAGAGAGATGAAAATGTTGTTGCCGCCTATAGCCTCATCGACACAGCTATGTAGGGGGTGAAGAGACAGAGAACAGACTTTGATTCAGTCTGGAGAAACTGGTTCAAAGAGGCCGAAACTATGGCTACTGATGTTGGGGGAGAGATGGCTGTCCCTAGAAGATCCAAACATCAGATACACAGTGTAAATACTCCAGCTGACACAGCCAGGTATAGATCTACAATGTTATTATTATCTAAATTTATAATAACACTTTTAGATTACTGCTGTTTCAACCTCCTTGTGACGTGCCTTGAACAGAGAAGGCATTTTGATAATAATATACACTGTATCAAGCCTTGGTTGTTATTTTCCAGTGAGTACTACAAGAGAAGAGCAGGGATTCCATTTATGAACAGCTTTCTCCAGAAGCTGGACACTAGATTCTCGGCTGACAACCGAGCTGTGAAGTCTATCATGTCCCTCGTCCCTATAGTGATGGTAGGGCTAGCTGATGTCGAGTTATTGGCAGAGGAACTGCTCTTCTGGGAGAGGGATCTACCTTCCCCTCATGCCCTAAAGGTACCATATTGACACTTCTCCTTTGCGGCAATACACAACTTACATTCAATGTTTTTTACCCTGCACTGCAGTCAATGCTATTGTCCTTTCTGAAAGAACTGGTGCGCTGGAAGAGTTGCTGCATGATGCAGCAAGGCGACCTCCCTGACAACCTGATTGACACCCTGCGACTAGCAGATGTTGACCTCTATCCCAATATCAGGGAGCTAGTGTTGATTGGCTGCACTTCACCAGTAAGGTCCTGTAAGGCTGAGCGGTTATTCAGTGCCCTTAGACGTGTTAAGACATACCTGCGATCCACCATGACAGAGGAGAGGCTGGGGGGCCTTACCTTGATGGCCGTCCACTACAGCCAAGCAGCACAGCTAGACATAGAAGAGATGGTCAAGCGCTTTGTCAGGGCTTATCCAAGGCGTCTCTTCTGCAACTCCATGTTGTTTGACTAACGTCATGTAATAAACTGTTAATCAGTCACTGATGTATTTGTCATCAAAGTGAGCCCTGCCAGGCTGTATACTTTTGGCAACACGTTCATGTAATAAACTGATGGTTTTGTCAACAAGCCAATTCTGACTTGTAATCATATGAAAATGTTGCCTCAAATTGCTTCATTCTAACCCCAAATTCTCTGAAAAGATGCTCCAAAATGCAGGAGAAAACATCTAGATTTCAAAATTTTCCGGGGGGCATGCTTTACGGGTTTAATGTCCCGGAACCCCCTAGCAAGGCGTGCCTTTGGCACGCTGGAGTGTGTAGGTCAATCACCTCAGGTAAACCCCTCCTTAGATCCGCCCCTGCACTGTATAACCAAGATTTGATACGGTATATACTATACGCACGCCTTACACGCCCTACACACCTGTAGTAAACCAATGCTGATAGTGAGGACAGCTTATGAAATACAGAAGATTTACGGGTTGAAAGCATAACAAGTAAAAAAATTTAAACGTGGTGATCCGGATCCAATTAATTAATTAATAAAATTTTCAGGATACGTCAGAAATGGGGTAACTTAGAATTCATGACATTTTGGTGGTGATTCGGATCCAATTAATTAATTAATAAAATTTTCAGGATACGTCAGAAATCGGTTAACTTAGAATTGATTACATTTTGGTCGTCATCCGGATCCAATTAATTATTGAATTAATTAATTAATAAAATTTTGACAGTGAGAGAATTTAGCTGTCTTGGCGGAGGTCTGTGCTCTCCGAGTGCTCTAGTTATTCATGAAATCTTCGTAGCTTAATTGTGACTTGAACCCGGAATGCTGAGTTCTATCGTGGAGCAGGGCTTATTCTCACGTGACTCTTATAACGCCAGCAAACATCACTGGTAGCTTGGCAATCACTTAATCGATGCGTACAAATTACCTAGCAGTCTGTTAATCTAAATTAATGGCTTCTTGTTACGCATACATGACGTTAACTGGTGCCATCTGCAGTTGGAGAAAGTTGCGAATCGTATTATGCAGTGATTCTCATTTATAAAGTTGTATCAATACTATGTCGTGACAATAAACCGATAGAAGTCAGTGTGAAAAACGTGTAAATGCAAGTGATTTTAATATTTTGCTTTACTCATTACACATCACTAGTGGCAAATTACATCACGAAAGTTACGTATATCACAAGATCCCTGCCTGCTTCCTTACATCTTGCCGTCTAACATGTTTCTACAATTCACAGTCGACACTCACCGATAACAGATCACGAATGTTTATTATATCACATCTTCATTTAACTAACACACACGCGAAGTCACGTACGAACTCATGAACATATACGCACACGCGCCCACACGTGCACAAACGGACGCACGCGCACGCACGCACACCTGCGTAAACGTACGCGCGCACCTGCACGTATGCAGACGCACGCACACACGTAAACCCACCATGCGATTTGTTCACTGAGTTTTACCAACTAATGAGAATGAAACTTCGCATAGTATTTGAATAATTTACCAGCACGGAATGATATTTTTTTATTACGCAACTAGATAATAAAGAGCGAATGAAAACCCACCGTCTCTCGTCATTGTAACATGGAAACTACACACCGACATCACTAAGCAACAGCTTTAGCTGAGTTATTAAGTCAGGTCTGCATTATGAGTTGTACAACCAATCCACTCGAGCGAACAATATTCATCAGCGGGCGTTATTAGAGAGCCAGTAACTCTTTCCCCTCGATCAACACTCTGGGCTACGTCACCAGCTACGACCCGCGCACATAAAGAACCTAACACATACATGCAAATAACTCCAGCACAGACTCGCAGCACAAGCGCACGACTAACGCAAACACGCTCTACACAACTACCTGCAAAAATGTCGGTTGTGATTTACTTTGCTGTTGTTTTAGCAGCGATAGCATGGAACATGTATCTAGGTGAGTACGTTTGTAACGTCGCGTGTTTCAGTGTGTAGGCTGATTGAGCATAGAGGTTCCGCCATCAGGTGAAATCTGAATTCACTCATGTAAGTAGGTAAACGGCGCGTACCTGTGTCGGTGTTAAACCCTGTTCAGACTGCAAAATTTTATCATACATAAAACTAGTGCTGACCAGGCCCGGGTCAGATGCGCGCTAAATCGCAGCTTACAGACACCAAATGGTCCACCAGGTTACGTTTTACAGGTAGGCTGCGCATGCTCAGTTTGATCGTGTTGCGTCACACAGCGGACGGCAATGTTGAATCAAGTAATCAAGTTTTGCACACTAGAGTGACTATGCGGTCCACGCGTTGAAATATTAGCAATAGCAATAATCTGTTTTTTCGTCATCTATGCGGTATGATATCAAGTCTTTCTACGTTTTGTGTTTCGGCTTGATTCAGCTTCACTGTGCAGGCCATAGAATCGCAAGTATAAGCCAATTGAGCGATTTTAGCAACAATGGATCTCTAAACATGCTGATTTCTATGTTGGCCCCTTCCAATACCTTCTGGATAGATTCTTCTGACAAAGTTATAATCAGATTCTTTACCTGGTCGTTGTCCCAGTTACTTCTTCTATTTGCCATCATTTATGAACTACGTTTTTTTACACTACATGAGTATGAAGTAGTGAGTTGAAAATGAAAAACAGAATTGCAAGCAGAATTAGAGACACCTTATAATTTTACGATCTCCATATGCGCTCACACAATGCAGCGCGCATATGTAAATCGAAAATGTCGCCCGCGCCTGGGCTGGATTGCGCACAACGAAAATTTTGCGCCGGATAACTTAATTAGTAAGGGATAACTTAGCATGCTTTAAATGGTCGGGTCCACATCTATTCAGGCGGCGGGGGTGGGGGGTGGTGGGGGGCTGGATTGCGCACAACGAAAATTTGGCGCCGGATAACTTAATTAGTAAGAGATAACTTAGCATGCTTTAAATGGTCGGGTCCACATCTATTCAGGCGGCGGAGGTGGGGGGGGTGGTAACTTAGTGCGGAATAGGGCGTATTTAGCCTGGAATATCATATACACAGTGCAGGAAATTAGACCGGGCCTGCTCCGGAATATTTAGATGTAGGATGAAATTCGCAGTTTGTGCGGATTATTTGTATTGTACGCGTAACATTAATGCATTATCGTTCATTCTTGTTACTTGTTTACTAAGCTTACTTGAAGATATTGGTTAGTGTGCGTGTTAATTACAAAATTGATATGTTTCTATATACTTTTTACACAATATATATATATACGCAATAATTCTTTTTTACTATTTATTTATTTATTTATCATTTCATTCGCTATTTTTATTGTTTTTTTAGGAGAGGCAACAAGATTTCATTACACTGGATGCTTTGAGGACGAACGAACAGATAGTGATTTTGACACGCGCACTAAGAATGCTCCGGCACCCGCTTGACCCGCGACCGTCTGTGCGCTCACGTGCACGACGCGTGCATGGCTACATATTCATGGGTCTGGGAGGCGGAGTTAATTGTAAGTGCGGCATGGCATACGGAAAACACAGAAAGCAGCCAGACACTGGTTGTAACAAGACGTGTGCGGGTGAGGCCGCCGCGTCCGATGTTGTGGCAGCATCGCCTTGAACTCGGTGTACAGAATTTACAAATGTAAGTAGAAATACGGCCGCTTCGTGCTTGTTTTGGTTCTAGGGCAAGCAATACGGTGCTCAGTGGAGAACATTAGCATCATGTATGATATGGTAGAATCTGTCTCTGCCTTGATCGAGGCTGGCTGCCTCCGTAAATTTCTGAGTAGCGCTCTTCGCCCCGCAGCTGGCTCGTGATTATTAGACGTAATTCATTATATTTCGGTCTCTTCTTCTTCTTCTTCTTCGTTCTTCTTCGCTTACGTTGTTATGTATTATTGAATATCCTTATATAGACAACTGTGGTTGGTATGCTATTAATGTTTTCGTATGTTTCTACAATTAATTATGATGTTGCATCACAGATGTTACCTATTTGCTTCGAATGGTTTTGAGATGTTATCAAGAGCGTATAAAGAAGCGTTATACTTCTTTAAAGGCC